ATTTAATGCCATATTTTATTAAACAATTCGCAATTTCATTAGATAATGTCTGAGCATCGAATTCATGTAATCGAATCAAACCAAGAAAGTATTCTTGAATAATATCTTTATCATCATCTGTATGCACCACTATTCGTACGACTATTGACAGCTGTTCGTGGCCACCACTATCACGACTTTCATCGGCCAACAACGCGAACATATTTCCTCTAATCTACGAGAGAAAACGATGATTAACTACAAATTGATCCGTTAAGTAAAAAGATGCTACCTTTTCTGTTATTTGTTGTTTAACTTGATCAGCCATAATTTTGATTAATTCGTTTTGAATACCTCCTGAAAGATACGTCGAGTTTCCTGTCGTATCTTCAAAAAGCGATTTTACAACTGGATCGGTTGAAGAAGCCCATTTCAGTATTTCAAGGAAATTGCCTTTATTTGAAGAACTATAAAATATTACCCAGCAGAATAAATCTATGTTTATGACATATATAACATCTATTGCACTTACCTTTCACTTTCATCATGTCCTCTAATTGCAATTGTTTGTCTTGCACATAATAGTAAAGCTGATGCAATTTTAATAAATCGTTCTGGATTTCGACGAATTTGTTCAGTTCGACTTCTGCCTAATACTTGTATAACATTATGTTGTGTTTGTTCTCTTTGTTGATAAATTGCATAGTTATTGGCGGCTAAAATATGGCCGTTGCTTTGTAGATGTCTGTCAAAGCCTTTCGATTTATCAAGAGCTTTTTTCCAATTTTGAAATCCGTTATTGACGAAGGCATCAGTTTGAGGTTTTTTATTTGACGATGATGATGGTGCGCCAAAATGTCGACAATAATAACTGTTACAAGTATCTGTTTTGATTGAATATTCTAACCACGGACGTCCATCATACCACTTTGCCGTAAACGATCTATTTTCATTATTTCTTGGATATGAAGCTAGTTTAGGTTGAGTAGGTGGATTTTGACATGAGCGACTAATATCGATAACATCAGCAGATACTTCACCAACTCGCTTTTCTTCAGACTGCACGTTTTGCTCTTTTTCAACGTTAACATTTTGAGACGAATTCATTAGAGAAGTTTCAACAGGTTCATCATTAATAGTAACACGAGATGTATGTGAATCACATGATTGTAAAGTAATATTTTGATTATTACCATCATCAGATTGCGACACTATTGATTTACTCTTCTTTTGAGTAGACGAAGAAAAATAAGAATCGAGGGTTTTTCTTTTATTGTCCATGAATCAACACTCCGTGCTCTGTGAAGAAGTTTAAGATTATGATTTATTTACAATGTGTATGCAAAAATAATCCCTATTCACGAGTTGTAATTAAATTAAGCATTTATGATTAAGCAGTCTATGTATCTTTTGAAGATATCGCCTTCTCTGATTTTACACTAATTGTTAAATATCTGTTTATTACAAGTATCAAAAGTTCAAAGAACAAGCGAATATTGATTATCTCCTTTTATTTTATTAGAGAGAAGTAAATATGCAAAGTATATTCCCGATTCGTCGACAAATCGGGCACTTCAAAGAATTTCCAAGGTAGGAGGGGCGGTGTGAGAGTGAGTGTCGACGAAACCGGACTGAATCAATATACAATACTTCATTTTTCAAAAGATTTATATATCAATTACTAAAATTCGAAATAGAAATTTTCGTAGAGGGGGCTGAGCCCCCTCTAGCCCCCCTCTAGATACGCCACTAGCTTTAACTCGTCTTCGATGAACTTTTCTGCTTCAACTTTATCTTCTAGAGACAAAAAAACCGTGTACTTTTGGGTCAGGTAAAGCTAAGGCCTAGTCGAAAATAGTCATACTTTAAAGCTGTTTCTTCATGGAAAGTGTTTATTAAACTACCATTATCTATTTCAAAAAGCAGTGTCGCCTCTTGTTTTATGAAAAAAGTTCAAACAAAAGAGATAGAGGTTTGCGGCTTTTACCAGCTTGTACCTAAGTCCTGAAAAAATGATCCTGCATCATAAAGTTTAAAACATCATCTCAGATGGTGTACCTGACTAGTCTTTGCCACAGTAGATTGGTGTGTCGAAACCACTTTGTGTTATTGATTTTTTAAAAATAGGGTGAAAAGTTTGAGTTGGGTAACTTTGTCCACTAAGTGGGTTTTTTTTGATTGATTGATTTATATTTTAGTGGCCACAAGTAGATGATAGATAGTGAAAACAAAAAAAGGAGTACAAATATACATCTTTACATGAACAAAAACAAAAGCAATCTACTGGGAAGGCAAAAACAGTTCTGAGAACCTATACACTTTGCCACCTTATTTTAACGGCTTTATTGTAGGTGATGTAACAACAGCTTCGGCAAGGGTTAAATTCCTGTCTCGGGCTGTTTGGCAGATAAATGATTGGAGAACGGTTTCAGTTCTAGCAAAGGGAGTTTCTACTGTTCTCGAATGATTAAGACGGCTTGATCTTCTCATTAGTGTGGACAAAATGTCTAAAGACGAATTGACGAATCGCAATTTTTGGGCGTAAAAATGATACAACAATTCGCATTTTAGCATTGTTTTGCGAATTCCTAATTCAATGCGAACTGATGCGAACTAACAAAAATGAAATTTCCGGTACTTACGAATTCGTAAATCGAACTGGTCTTCCATCAACGAATTCGTGAAATGATCATTTTAGTCCCCAAGAATTCGTGTACGAATTCGTAAATTGGCAAAAATACGATAAAATGCGAATTTACGAATTCTATTTACGAATTCATAGATGCCAAAGCATAACCGACGAACTCATAAATAGAAATCGTAAAATACGAATTGATGTCAGGGACAGACACTTTTCTCTGAGGTTAAAAATAGATAGATTCGTCTCTCTCATCGATTCGCATACTTCTCACCTCACTTCGCCGTTATTTTTACGAATTCGTAGAATACGGACTGATCAGTTGAATGAAATCAAAAAATGTGACAATAGACTATATTAATACATGTATCTGTGCGAAACAAAACAGAGGGGAATCTCTCTCCCTTTCCTGTGCATGTGCCGAGCGGGGGGGGGGGGCGCAGTGAGGATGGCTGTGAGTATTTACACAACATGCCGTACTTACGAATTCGTAAGAATAACGATGAATTGGTATGAGAAGTATGCGAATCGGTGTGAAGAGACGAATTTATCTATTTTTAACCTCAGAAAAGTGTCCCGTTCCTACGTAGCCTAATAAGCGTAGACATCGATTCGCAATGAATTTGCAGAATGGGTTTGTCAATTGGTGGATCCATTTTCAGCCGCTGGATCAGTTCGTAACACGAATTCGCTAATTAATTCGTGTTTACGAATTAATCTAGTTCCAGATACAGTGAACACGAATTCGTAAACTAATTTTGCGAATTATTTGCGAATTGATCAGCATCGTGTCTATCTGTTCTCTATTTACGAATTCGCAAGAAGAATTCATAAACGTTTTTAAGAGTATCCGTACGAATTAGATACAGTTCGCATCAATTCGGTGCGGATTCGCAAAATAAGGGTAAAACGCAAATTGTTGCATCATTTTTGCGCTTAAAAATTGCGATTCGTCAATTCGTCTTTAGACACTTTGTTCACACATCTTCTAGACTGGTTGTATTGGATATGGTTTAGTCTAGATAAAGGAGAGAGGATTTTGAAAAAATGTATAAGACGAAAGTATTTTCGTTTCACCTGAAGTAGAGGTAGATTCAGTCTCCTAACTAAATTCTAACCAGGAGTAAAAAAGTTTGGAGTAACCATATGGGCTGCTAGATATTGGATGGACTCAAGACGAGACACCTGAGCCGTGAAAGTGGTGTCATATGAGGCACAGGCATAATCTAGCTTACTGAGGATACAATTCTTATAGATTTGAAGACGAATATGAGAGGGTGCTTGTTTAAACTGTCTGTACATAGCTCCAAGGCGTTGCCGACAGGTTCGCACAATATTTTCTATATGAACTCGTCATCTCAGTTTACAACTTATTTCGAGCCGTAGTAAAATAAGGCTTTTCTCGCGCTTTATGTTAGAGCTATCTGGTAAGGTAAATTTGAAATCATTTGTCATATCAGGGCTATTGGAAACGAACATCCACGCGCATTTTGATGAGTTTAGAGTCATAAGACTGGAGCTGCACCAATCACTGATTTTATTTATGTTACTCTGACAGAATTGGGATAGGCTCGTTGCCGTTATGTAGCAGATGAGCGTACAATCATCGGCAAAGAGGATAGTATCAACCGGTAGCTCTAAGAGCATTTAGGAATAGCAGAGCACCAACGATGGAGCCCTGTACTGCTGCTGATATTACAACAGTTGGCATAGACAGTTTAGAGCCAACTCTTACTTGCTGGAAACGGTTAGAAAGGTAGTTCGTAAACCATTGCAGAGCTATTTGAGATAGACCTAACGCTAACAAACGAGAATTCATTATTTGACAGGGAACTTTGTCAAAGGCTCATCATCATCATCCTCATCAACCACAATATCACCAAAATCATTATGAACATCGTGGTCCTCGTGAACATCGTGGTCCTCGTGAACATCGTGGTCCTCGTGAACATCGTGGTCCTCGTTATCAAAATCAACAACGAGGAGGTGAGGATTTACAGTAGAGAATGAATCCGATGATGATGCCTCCGAATTATTTGCCATCAGAAAACCATCATTAATGTTCATAACAACAACTGTCAAAATCAAGAACATGAGAATAATGATTGATACCGGAGCAGCTAATTCCAGTATCACCGAACGAACTCTTCTGCAAACAAAACACAAAAAATTCAGCAGTAGAAATTATCATAAATGAATTCTGGCAGATGGGCATTCGCCTTTAGAAGTTATTGGAAAAGTGGAATCAGACATTAAATTAAGATCAACTGTTACAACGATTGATGGTCAAGCATCTTAGTGTGGAATGTTTATTGCGAACGGATTATATCGACAAATATCAAATGAATATTGATGCGGTAATTGATCCGGTTTGTCTTATTAATTCTGTTATTATTTCTCCATATGAAGAATATTCACCTAATGCATCAGCTGGGATCTCAAAAGCAAGTGTGATTTTCAAACCATCGTTCAATTTAAAACAGCAAATTCCACTGTTAATGGTTAGTGCTTTGATCAATGTACATCATCATACAATCACAATCCCTTTGTACAACCCGTCACCATATCCACAATATTTATCAAAAGGAATTATTTTGGGAACTATTCGGCTATCAACAGATGATCTTGATTTTTCTACAACACCAGTAATCAATCATAATGAACAACAACTTGCAGAAAATTAACAATAGAAGAAAAAATCGATCACCTCATTGAACATATTGATAGTTCCAAGTCAACAGTTGCCACAACAACACTTATTCATACAATCAATACAAAAGATAATCAATCACGACCATTTGATAAGCAATATCCATATTATGGTGAGAAAAAAACGGCTTTAGAAAAGATCATCAACACATTGTTGGCTGCTGGACAAATTAGTGGATCTCATTCCCAATACAAATCACCTGCTCTTCTGGTTGGCAAACCCAGTGGTGGTCCTCGTCTAGTAATGAATTACAAAGATTGAATGATATTACAATAAAGGATGGATATGATTTACCCAATATGGAAGAAACTATCGAACAACTTGGCAATGGAAAAAATCATTATTTTTCAAAACCTGATTTAAAATCAGGCTTCTGGCAATTTCCAATTTATAAAAAAGGATTCTCATAAGACGGCATTTAGTACTTTCGGAAAATTATATCAATGGAATGCCCTTCCTTAGGGTCTTAAGAATGCTCCATCATCGTTTCAACGAATCATGTCAAAAATTTTGGAACCATGCATTGGCTTTTCATTGGTTTACCTTGGTGATATAATTATTTATTCCAAATCGTTCAGTAACATTGTCAACATCTTCAAAACGTTCTGAATCTGTTACAACAAAGCAATCTCCAACTCAACACCATCAAATGTGAAATTGTCAAGCAAGAAATTGATTATTTAGGCCACAATCATCAGATGGCATACAGCCGTTGAATGAAAAACTGAAGCAATTCTGAATCTGGCAGAACCAAAATCTTTGAAACAAGCAAATGAATTTGTCGGAAGTTTGTCATTTTATAGAAAATTTATTCGAGCGTTTGCCAGAGTTGTTGCACCAATTCACGCTGTAACTAATTCAACCAAAGCAAACATACACAAGTTCAGATGGAAGTCATGCTTTCAAACAATTGAAGAAACTGTTGGTACAAGAACCTTTATTTTTACATTTCCCAGACGATTCAAAGCCAGTAATCTTAACAACTGATTTTTCAGTCATTGGTATTTCTGGTGTTTTGCAACAAGAAACTGAAGGACACACAAGAAATTTACATTATGATAGTCAATTATTGGTCCACATCAAAGGAATTATGACATTGTGGCTGATGAAGCATTGGCTATTCTTCTGTCGTGCGAACGAATGAAGCAGTTTATACAAGGACGTGATTTAATCATCAGAACAGATCATCGTCCGTTATGTCACATACAATGAAAGGAGCTTCGAAATAACATGGCCAATAGAATATCAATCCTTCTTCAACCATTTAACATCATCGAAATTCAACACATACAAGAAAAGCAGAATAGTTTGGCTGATTATTTATCAAGAAGCCCAGTCAAACAACTGGACCTTGATTTATTGGATCCAGAATACGGTGTTGACACGAAATAATGATCAAAAAAACCAAAAGGCTCCACAATTTCAAGATAATTTCTCAATCCCAAGCAACAATTCAAGTCATTCATTAAAAGGTAAACATGATTTTAGAGTTCCATCCAAGAACAACAATCAACAGTGTGATCAACCATTGGAAACTATGAATAAACCAATAGTATCAATTAACAGCACTACATCAGAATCACAATATGTAATTGTTTCAGCTGTGACTCGTTCGTCAACACGAAAACAACACCAACACAACTGTCAATGAAGATGATTCTTCTTCACTTTCTGAAGAATCAGATGATCCACCATCGACAACTCCATTTTCACGCAACCAATTTGATATTAAGCAATTACAAGAAGAACAACAGAAAGATCCAGTTATTTATAAGAAATTACAAGAAATTGAAAAAGATCCACACAACAAATATTACATTATTCATGGTGTATTTTTGTTCAAGTTGTTACTAAGGCATCGTAAACAAGAGAAGCCACAATTAATTTATCTTCCATCTTCATTGGCTAAAACTTTGCTTCAAGCTTGTCACAATGATCCAATTGGTGGTGGACACTTCTCAATTCAACGAACATATATGAAATTCAAGGAGAAATATTCGTGGCCTGATATGCGTACAACAATCGAAAATTATATCAAGGTATGTCTATCCTGTCAACAGTTCAACATATCAAGACAAAAAACCATGGACAACTTTGTCCAATAACACCTCCAGAGGGACCCAATCAATTGTTGGGAATTGATCTTTGCGGACCATTAGAAAGTTCTTCAGGTGAAAATCACTACGTTCTAACAATAACGGATTATTTCACAAGATGCACAGCAGTGGCTTTATCAAATTGTTCTGCACAAACAACGGCAGAAGCAGTGTTCAAACATTATATTTGTACATTTGGTATTCCAGCAACAATATTATCCGACCAACGAACTCATTTTCAAAATCAATTGTTGCAAGCATTAGAAACCAAAATTGGCATCCATCATATTTTTAGTTTGGTTTACCGTCCCCAAACAAATGACATGATAGAACGATTCAATTCAACATTTATCCCACAAATTGCTAAACTTCAAGATCAAGAAAGCAGCAACTGAGATGAATTTTTGGATGCCGTGGTCTTTGCATACAATAGGAATGTTCATACTGCAACACGATATTGACCGTTTGAATTATTATTTGGCAGAAAACCTCAACTTCCGACAGACTCACCTCGACAAGAAGTGATTTTCAACAAACCAAATGATTATTATAAACAATTGGAAAAATGTTTAAAAATTTATCATACAAGCGCCCGTCAGAATATCATCCACAATAAAAACTGGCAAAACAAAGATATGACAAAAACAGAATAGATCCACATTACACAATTGGCGATCAAGTTTTTGTGAGAATTGAAGGTTCAAGATTAAAATTAGATTCTCGTTTTAGTAATGTTCAAGATAAGTACAACTCAATTCCAATGATCATCTCAAAAATAAATCATCCAACATACTTCTCGTAGATCAACAAACAAATCGAGAATATCGCCGTCATTTAAATGATCTCACACCAGTTCGAGAAGGACAACAATTTTAATAATAATTGTGAACATCACGATGTATATGTTCACTTTCTAACAGTTCATTTCGTTCCAAAAAATTATATTACAACACATTATTTCCTTGTACCCAGGATGCAATCTACCACTAGACAAATTTCTGAAGGTGGTCGTGGAGTCTCACAAATACCTTCTAAGTACTCTCTGTGTGCGAGATAAACGAAGGTTTAAGTCAGGTATAAAGTAGTGTCGAAGTCTGGTAATTTCAACTGCATCGTTGTCGGAAACACCTGAGTAACTTAATGCATCGGTTAATGAATTTTGGTATGCAGAGCTACAGGATGATTCCGAGCGAAAGACAAATACCAAGAAACAAATGGGCAGAAAACAATTCACCATGCGATTTCCACTTTGACAATGCCAATTTCAGCTGAGCACTTCTTTTTCATTAAAATTTACCCAAATATCATATGATGTGGCGTTTTTATGTTATAATAGTATTTGAACCCTTGACAACACCATCCTGTAATCTAACTTAATTCATCAGTCAGTCGGGAAAAATCTATGACTAAACCTTGCTACTTAATGAGGTCCAACAGAGAGAATTATTCGACTTTTCCACACGCATCAAACTCGATAAACCGGCTTGTTAAATATTTTTAAACTATAAGCTTTATCGTCATTTAAAATATATACTAACGAATCTTATACATCAATTACATTTACAGCCAAAAATACTTTCAATGTAACGCACATTCAGTAAGCAAAATTTTCTTGATCAGTAGCTGCTGTCTGCGTTTGTCTTAGACAAATTCTCAGACAACAACCTTCACAGCACGACCTAGCGACTTGTGAACAGTTTCGTAAAACAATGCATTAACACAACCGCCATAGCAGCAAAACGTATCGAATAATTATGTAACCTCTTCCAATTTCAACGACCTAAAAAGCACAAAATGAGCCAACGAAACGTTAACCGCAACGGAACAGACAGTTTTCCCATTTCCTTACTTTCGTCCGCTCACTAAACAAATCTTAGCCGTCGGCTCACTCTCACATATTGTGCTCATCGTTGCTCTCGTCGACGAGATCTTATGGGTGATTCCTTCCTTTATTCAGAATACGAGTGTTAAGGCTATATAACATAGATACGAAACCTGCTCCTGTTGCTGTTGTCATTATCTGTGATGACGTCACAATGAATGATACGGCAATACCATAACCAGCTGCTGGTGCCCATTGTGAGGTGTTATTTACAAGGGAGGAAAGATTAGTGGCGGATACATAATATTCCATTCGATTGGAAACACGATATGGACTTCCAGCACCTGCGCCAAAGCCTACTGCTAAAAACTGATTAGCTGTAACGTTAATTTGATACATGGGTATTTGAAATGTTTGTGGTACGCCGGTTTGATTTGTTACACTTTTTGATGGTATTATATATTGCTGATTAACAGTGAACATAGTTGTGCTTGCTGTAGCTGAAAGAATGTATACATAAAGTAATGGTGGAGTGTTAGGTGTCGGTGCCGTATGAAAGTTGATTGAAACGTTTTTGATGTAACCCGCATATGTTATTTTATCCAATAAATTAAATGATGTGTAACCAGCGTCGTTATCATCAACTTGTGAGCTGTTGTCTGTACTGCCATACACAATATCTAAAAGAATTAAAACTATGAAATAACTGAAATAATACGATAAGTAATGTGACTGACAAAAGTAAAGAGGATCCTCTCTGCGTGAGACTGAAAGTCAATAAATATGAGTATGAAGTAACTGATCCAGCCAAACAAAATAGTCATGTCTATGTATAATGTTTATTTCTCAAAACAGTGTCAAAAACTTAGTGTAAACGTACATTAGGTGAAATAACCGATTTTTAAAGTAAAATTAAAAAATTCATAACCCAGTCAAGATCCAACCAAATTACGTCAAAATATCAGGATGTGCTCTATTTTACCTGCTCTATATATTTTTTACTTGAGGATAGCAAAAAACATTCTTGTACTGCGGAAAATTTCTAGAAAAACTTTTCAAAGCCCAAACTATTTTAGGTTGACTTTTAACGCTTTTATTGAGCTGCGTCGCATCGAGCAGGTAAAATAGAGTACATCTTGTTATTCTGATGAAAATTGATTGGATCTTGACTGGGTTATGAATTTTTTAATTTTACTCTAGAAATGGGTTATTTTACCTAATGTAGGTTTAGATTAGGTTTTTGACGCTTTTTAGAAAAATAAATATTGCCACGAGATTCAGCGTGGTCGATTACCTATGTTTTCATTTATTTTCGGAATTACCACATGTAACGAAACATTGATGCTGGTACTCTCAGGCAATCCAATGCCACGCCTAAACCCCGAAAACCTAAGCGTTCGTCAAGTTTCTGTTCTGCAGAAGACACTTTGCACTATCTGTCTATGAAGAAAGCTCGACCTATTTCTATGTCAACTCTCCGAGATCCGTACCAGGTGATAAAGAAAAGCAGGTAAAAATAATTTTTGATTTAAAACGGAGGCACACGTAATAGTAGTTGTTTAGGTGCCGTTTTTTGGGTTCATCAGTTCCGTTAACCGTTGTGTGTGTATGTTTTTCCTAATTGTCTCCTTTTATCACAGGACTTGCTGTTTTATCTTGATTATTGTTCAGCTGAAAAATTTAACACTGTTGCAAAATAATAATATCAATAACAATGAACTGTAATTCTACCGCCGGATCGCATTCTACCAAGAGTCCGTTAGCAGAAACCAACACGGAAGCAGTAAAAAGAGCTTAAGTAGAATCACCTAAACATTTTCTTATTACACCACTATTCATGAGTTTTTGGGTCTATTGCATAGGGGAGAAACGTATCAGACGTAAAAAACCGAGCCTAACTGCCACCAGTGCCGCACTACAATCGCACCTTCACCATTCGATGCGCATTGACGAGTTCTTTCGAATGGTAAATGACACTTGTACTTTTCATCTAAGAAATAACCTTTTATTTCGTCAAAACCCTCAGAATTTCCGTAACTCTAGAAAATCTTCTCACTCACAGTCGCCACTGTACCAGGTGTTGGGAAAATATTAAATTCATAGACAATCGACATTCCTCTATCGAACGCACGTCTCTGCATTTTTTCTATGTAACTTTAATTTTTCGAATATTTTTCTCACGGTACAATGCCGTTGCAATTTACTCACCTGTTGCTGCTGCTGTGCTTGAACTCGCCATTGTTGTGAACTGAGTTGTGCTAGTCATCGATGTTTCACCGTATACCGTTGTGACGCCTAGAATCGCGGATAAATACAGGATATCTGGACTGAACATAGGACTATATCCGTTGCACAGTTGAGGGGATCCTTATGTCAGATCAAATATGGTATCGTCCAAACGCACGTCAACACAATGGTTAGAACGATGTTTCAATCTAGGAATTGCAGAGACGAAACACTTTACTCTTACCACGTGAAGTAGCTATCAAAGTGGATGAAGCATTATTAAGAGTGCTTTGGGAATTCATCATTGATGTTGTTGTCGAACTACTGGAAATGAGTGTAGCACTTGTCGTCTGGCTCACTAAAAGGAAAAAAGAAGCAATGTCGTCCACCTTCTTTAACCTATGTGCCACCATGCGTGTACTGGTCTTATTGATTTATCGATTAAATAGTTGTGTTGACGGCAGGATATCACTGAGAACGACACAGCTACTCTGACAAGTCAAGGAGAATATCGGAAAGATATACTGGCAAAAAGTCTGTTAGGGCGTTCAACCATACGGTATCAAAATTCAATTCGAATTTTAGATAACAGCTTTAAATGAATGTCAATTTGTCGGTCCGAACTGACGTAGAGAGCTTGACCCTTCGATTGTTTGTTTTAGCTTTTAGACGAAGATGGAACTTTCCATGGCGTTTATTGAAATGAAATGTGAAATGAAGAAGTGCGCATGAGCTTCGTTGTCTATCAAGCTGATTTAACGAGGTGCGGGTGTTGAAGTAGAGGATGGTCTGAAAACGCGTCGAACATTAAAAGTCTGGTCTGAAAACGCGCCGAACATTAAAAGTCTGCTAGTCGGATAGAGTTTTTGTTTTATACCATGCAGAACTTGATCGAATGAGTGCACGCAAAAGTGAAGTGATTTTCGGCACTTAATGGGAAGTTTGTTGGGCGATAAAGATGACTTTTGTGCAAAAAGAAAGTGTGTAGCATAATGACTGAAAAGAACGGGTGATTTCGATAATTTTGCTTTTCAGTCAGCTTCGATGCTTGGTTATATGTAAAAGTGAACAAGTTAAATTTTAACTTTGAACGAGGAAGTTGAATTAGATATGGCTGAAGGTGGAATGTGAATTATTTCATCATAAGAGACTGCATTTAATTACTAAGATCTAGAGTCCTGCGGATTTATCCCGATTCCGAAAGCTTTTTTTCGTATTCGGGTTTCAGTTCATCTATTCGGGTTCCGGATCGGGTTTGTGTCCGATCCCGATTCTTCTACTTTCATATAGCCGGAGATTAGAGACAATTCTAAATAAATAAAAAAGAATGGAAAATATGGAAAACGGACAGGTGTTTCGCACTAGACGTACAACCGACCAAGTGAATGTTATTTTTGTACCTCTATCAGTAGAAATTTACTAATGTTACAATGAAAGAGAGCACTACTTCACTAGAAAAACATACTTCGCGTTCGGGACGGGTTTTATGTGAAAAAATTGGAAAAATCAGGTTCGGGATCTCGAAAACGTTCTGGCCCGTTCGGGTTCGGGACCGGTTTTATATGCCGAGCCCGGATCGGGGTCGGGCCTGAGAATCTCAGATTCGCATGACTAAGATCCGTTCAAGTATAATAATGCCGGTGACAACTTTCACTGTTTCAAAATAAAGAGGCATATTCCAAAACAACTCGTAAACCAATCAAGGAGGAATTCAAAATAAAAAGGTCTCGAAAATACTACATGTTCACGGATAAAGTACGGCGGTGGAAGATGGACTGAATAAACTTCAGATCAATTATTAAGGTGTCGAGGAATCTTGAATGTTAAAATCTTCGATATTTACTATTTTTTGTAGTTGCTTGCATTCCATCTGCAGTTGCTAGTGAATCTTCTAGAAAAAACTATGGAATAAACATGGCATTCTGAAGCTTTCCGTAACTTTTACTTTTTATCTTCAGAATAACCGTTGCTAATAGAGTAAAGAAAGCGATTGCCATCACCAATATTAATACTGTTGCAACACGTTTTGTGGTTTTATTAACAGATCTTGAAAAATTAATACAAAACATCTTAAGAATATTAATTTAGACGAAAAGAAGAATGGACGTCTGTGCTTTGGCCTTAAAGAACAAAAATTGAGTGAAATATGTTTGCTAAGCATTCCATTATGGCTCATACTTACTGGTACAGTGGCGGATCTGAATTCTCCTATGACTCTGATATTTAACACGCTTCGACGAGAATCTCCAAGATCTGCAATTAAAAGGTCATGTTCTGTTTGTGTATGACACATCTTTTTCGCGATATTCTTTTGTCTTATGTAGTTTATTGACCGACGAAAAATGCAAGCTTTTTAGACTATGGAACGTATAGCTAAGCTGGTACCTAACGTCATTTTAATGTTAGAACGGGCAAAGCCTCAAATTCAAGAATAATGTCAATTGAACATTTTCAGAGTAAAAGATTAGAAAGCAATAACAACCCAAGCGTCAAAAAGCAATCTAGTATCGCCCGATTCATCTAGATTACTAGAGTTTTACTCGATCGCAACTACTGTGTAACAATAGTGAAAATCTAGCAACTGGGCGATTACTAGATTTTTTCTAGTTGCATCTATCGATTTATCGCCCAATAATCGATTGATTTAACTATTACTAGATGCACCAGCAGACGCATCTGGTTAGGAGTCCCTTTTCCAACTAGTAATCTAGATGGCAACTAGTCGTGTATCGCCCGATTACAGACGAAATGTATCTAGATTTTTGCCATAGGTGATATTTGCTTGGGAAAAAACAAAAATTGATTTGCAATGTGCTGAAAAGGTCTAATTTATGATTATGGACATGAAATAAAACTTCCTGCAAAAACGGGAATAGATTCTTCTAACAACCAGAACATAAGTAGCCCAATAATTTGAGAAAAACATGTTTTACATAGAGAAATAGTGTTTGTTTTTGAAAAGTCCAAGCACCTTAAAGGTTTATTGCGGTCGATCAACCGTCGTGGGGAAAGACTAGAAAGTCGACTGAGTGTGAAACAGTTATAGACAAAGTTAGAATAATCAGGAGGTCAAAGCTCTTGATAAATGACCTTTGAATTCAAACAGAATTTGTCTACAGTTTCGTGAAGCAAACATTAGGGACGGCAATCGTTCAGGTGACTTCTCATCCATAGACTGTACTGTGTAATAAGAATTCATATATTGGAATGCTATCACGATTTTCTGATGACGAGAATACCTAGCACGAAGCTCTCTTTTATGAGAAAACTAAAACACCTTTTAGAATACTTGAAACCCACTTTGCAGAAGTAAAATGGGCTACATGTGTATCGGAAGCTTCGAAATGGGTACTGTTGACGAATGAAAGAACAATCCTTTCAAGAAGCATATACTCATAGTATGTATGGTATATATGATGTGCAGCGCCACAGTGGGCAAGTTTGGCTAGAGCAGGCGGACATGTGCTATTAATTCAATAATAACTTTTGATAGAAAAGAGCTAGACAGCTCCGATTTTCATAACCAACATTGTTTTCAGAAGAGTTTCCTGAAACAGGTTTTGTAGGAGATCTTTGGAAAACCAGGCCGTGCATAAAACTTTTTCAATAGGATTGTTTTGCTTTTTTTTCATAGACTGATAGCCCGGGATGTTCTCTTCAAAATGGAAGTGAAGTAAGACCTTGATTTTCCGCGGTTCGGGCGTTGTATCGGGTTTCCTACGAGTCCCGGGACTGGCATCCGGTGACTATTGGTAGCCTTGACGACGGATAGAATAGGGGTAATCGACCACACTGGGTCTCGTGGCAACATTTGTTTTGAGATTAAATTTTAAAAATCTACCGAAAAGCGAGTTTTACGAAAATTTGCGTTTTCAGCCTGTTTTCACGTAATATTAAAAAATTCATTAATCACGCAGTAAACATCAGAACGAGTTCAAAATTTCAGAATGTAGAGTATTTAAGCTATTCTATATCCTGTTTATAAGAGATTTCAAAAGAAATTTTACAAAACCCTAAGGTTTTCCAAAAGGGTTTCTGGAAAACCCGATAACGAAAATATGCTTTTTCTGATTTTTCGATTGTATAATCACGTTTAGCGAAGGAAATCAACCATATCCGGAAATTCTGAAGTCGTTCTGATATTTATTAAGCAAATAGTGAATTTTTTTTAATATTACGTGAAAACAGCCTGAAAACGCAAATTTTCGTAAAACTCGCTTTTTGGTAGCTTTTGAGAACTTTTTCTAAAAGTAAACATTGCCACGAGGCTCGGCATGATCGATTACTTATAGTCCATCCGTTTTCAAGGCTATCAGTAGTCGCTGGGTACCAGTCCTGGAACTCCAAGAATCACGGTTTTTTGGAAATTCTCCAGCACAATGCAGAATCACTGACGCTAATTGGCGCTATGGTCAATGGTAGAGCACGAATAGAGGAATATTTGGCGAAAGGTTGAGCTGGATTGAACTTTAGCTCTTTGTAGCGTTTACAAGATACAGAATGACACATTTTTTCTACTGAGTTTTAGCCTAGTAGATTTTTTTTTCTCTACCGATTTGACTTCAATCGAAACAATCTTTTGTTTAAAATGGAGCTCATAGATGAACAATTCGTTTCCGATAGTTGTTCAAATTAATCTA